CCTACCCGAGGGAGAGAGAGAAGAGAATTGAGATATGCTCCACCGTGGCCCCTTCCTGCCCCAGGGCCACTCCAGTTCCCCTGCAGCCTTCTGGCCTCTGCTCTCAGGGTCTCTGTCCCAGGACTGACGGCAGCCGTTTATTCCCTTGTCAACATTTCCTGTGCTTTCAGAAGTTGGTCTCTTCTCTGCAATTCAATCCTGGCAGATATGATGGTGGTCAGCGTGCTGGTGGGCAGTCTTTGGGGACTCCCAGGAGCCATGCTGATTATCCTGAGTCTCTCAATCGGGGTTACACAACTGTTGAGCACCGGAGGAAGCCCATTCACGTTAGGCCAGCACAGCATTTCATCACTTTCATTTTATTTTTAAATTTTCAGTGGAGAAATTATTTGTAGCAAACTGTTCCAGATATTCGGCCTCCTGCTTTCCTCACTACCATTTCCTTGTTGGCTCTGGTGCTTGTTTTATGAACCAGGTTTCTTCTCTGGTCATTTGTAGCAGCTGAGCTTGCGAAGCCTTGATCTGCATTTGAAGCAGAATGCTTCCTCGTGATGTCAAACTGATTTTCCTATTTCTGAATATTTCGTGTACACTCAGCAACAGTTTCCAGTGAAATGCTCTTGTCCAATTTCGGTTAACTGATATTTGCTGAACTTCTGCTTTTATGCTGAGGGCAGTTTCTTCTTCCTCTAATAAAAGTTAGCAATTTGCATTTACTATGGGAAGGTACTGGCCCGAGGTGCTTTTTTTCTTAACAGTTTTATTACAATTCACCCATTAAAATGTACAGCGGTTTTTACTCTATGCCCAGAATTGTGTATCGCAGTCAATCTTAGAACATTTTCATCCCCCCAACAGGAAGCCCCATACGCATAAGCAGGCATTCCCATCTTCCCCATCCTCCCCCAGCCGCAGGCAGCCACTCTTCTCTCTCTGTGGATTTGCCTGTGCTGGACATTTCATGTAAATTGAGTCACTTCATGTAAGTGGAACCGTCTATTGTGACTGAATTCTTTCACACTGAGTAACGTTTTCATTGTTTGTCCACGTTCTGGCCTGGGTCAGTACTGTATAGTTTCCTATTGCTGAATAATATTCCACTGTATGGCTGGGTCCCACTGTTTGCCCATTCATCAGGTAATAGACATTTGGGTTGTTTCTGCTTTTTGGCTGTGATGAGTAGTGACGCTGTGAATATTCCTGTAGGAGTTTTTATGTGGACATTTGCTTTCAGTTCTCTTACGTGTGTGCCCAGACAGCAGAATTGCTGGGTCATTCAGAAACCAAATGTTCAACTCTTTGAGGACCTGCCAGGCTGTTTTCCAAAGTGGCCATGCTGTGTTACATCCTCACCAGCAAGGGCTGCGCGCTCCGCTTCCGCTGTGTCCTCATTAGTGCTTGTTACTCTTTTTTTTTTAATTATAACCTATTGTTGTGAGTGTGAAGTGGTTTCTCCTAGTGGTTTTGAATTGATTTCCCTTACAGCTAATGATATTGAAAATCGTTTCATTGTGCTTATTGGACATTTGTATATTTTCCTTGAAAAATACATTTTCAGATCCTTTATTCATCTTTTAATTGAGTTGCCTTTTTACTGTTGAGTTGTAGGGTTGTTTTTTTTTTATTTGGAGATACAAATTCCTAATCAGATAAATGATTTGAAAAAATTTTCTCCTGTGTATTGTTTTTTCACTTTCTTGATGGTGCCCTTTGAAGGAAGGTTTTAAATTTTGATGAACTCCAATTTATCTCTGATTTCTTTGTTCCTTGTGCTTTTGGGGTATTATTTAAAATCTGAGGTATTTTATTTAAATTTTATATGTAAAATAACTTAATTCGTAGGACCGTTCTAGGAGATGGGTGCTGTTGTTGTCCCCAGTCTATGGATAGGAGACTGAGAGGCAGAAAATTTCACTGAAATATCAGTGTCACAGCTACCCAGTGCTGTGGGAGTTCAGACCCTCATGTTTGTCCCCAGAATCTGTGCTCTTCACCACCATGCTCCACTACTGCCTGGAATCGTTAATGGAAACGTCTTTCCTTTTTTTGATATCTTGTTAGTTTGTTTTCTCATTGGGGACCTCATCTCCTC